TCGCAGAGTAACAAAATTTAGAGTAACAAAAATTGCAATATAGTCTAGATTAATTAAGTCAGTAATGAATGCTGATGAAGTCGAAAGAATTTTTGTGAGACAGCCAGAATAATTACTGTCACGAAATAAAATATATCACCCAAACAGCGTGACAAAATATTGTCACAAAAATTTCTATAAATTGTAAGAAGCATTTTTATAGTTCCTGCGGTCTCGTGCTTCACTGATCTGCTCTCGAATTCTCCCAAACAAACGCCGAGGTTTTCATAGCGCTATGAAGGCACGGAAAAAAAGTTTTATTTCTTTTATAAAATGACTCTTCTTTTTTCTAAAATATATGTTCTTCCAATAAAAGCGCTGCATCTTACATTCAAGGAATGCGTTACATCTGCCTGAATATTAAAACATTTTCTCGTGCGATGTCGACCTTATAGCCAAAAACATAATATCTTGAACGCGTTTTGAAACAACTTTTTAATTTTTTTTGACCAGGTTAAAATTCATCAATCCAATTGAAACTTTGCAACAATTTTGTCCATATAGCGATGAAACAACTCAAGAAGAAAAAAATTGGACTCATTTTTGAATTAAGGCTTATGCAGATTATGAAAAAAATTTTCTGTTTATTAGGTAATTTTAGTTTGAACCCTCCCTACCTTGCCATCAATTTTATGTTATGGGCCCCCTCTGGTTTTACGGCTCCCCCCCTGGTAATTATTGCACTGTCCCTAACGCTTTTATGGTCAAAAACGGCTTATGTTTTTTTTGTAAGGAAATATTTATTTTCCTGGAAATTTTTTTAAAAAGTATTCCTTGCCTGGAGAGTTTTTTTTCCTTAATTTCTCGCTGCCAGCCAGTTGTGACTTACAGTTGGCTGGGACCAACCTCGTACCCAGGGTCTCCCTTCTCGCTATTTTCAAAATGGCGGACGCTCGGGAGGGAGACCCTGGTGGAGGCTAGTCACGTGATACCCAGGAATCGTGGGTATCGGCCACAGGCTGCTCGTTTGAGCCTTGAAACGGCCAAAAAACAACTGAAAAGAAAGTGTAATCGAGTGAAAAAAAAAAAAAAAAAAAAAACATGGCGGTTCGATCGAATCAAAACAGAATATTCCGATCTTTTTCTGTTGAATTATTGCCCCAGCTGTACTCTGCTTCATTGATGTTAAATTCAAATGAAAAATAAAGACTTTACTTACATTTACAACTCCATTGAAATGTTTTTCTTATGTTTGTCCAACCAAGAGTCGAGGTTCTCTTTGTCCAGGGTATGATTTTCTACAAATTCCTAGGATGACGAGCTTCTGGCCATTCAAGACCTGAGGAGGTTAAAACCATTAAAGAAGCCACAGAAGTTTCCAGGACATTGGAGTTTCAGCCCAAAAGACAATATAGACTGCGACCCGAGGTCTGGCTTAAGCGAAGGACTGTTAGGAAAATGTTTTCCACCTCCGGTATATCTTCCTCAGATCTCGAGGCACACACAGGAACTGACTTCGAAAACAGTATCAGGCCATCTTCTTCAGATCTTAAGAAGATTTATTCAAGGAGCCCAATCTATCTTCTTCATCATTGACCAAGGACAAAAGTCAACATCAAACTGTAGAGACTTATGATTGTGTGGATATCGAAGGACAAATTGGAGCAACTTTCTTCTTCTGATCTTGTGATTTCACGTTGGCGTGCCCAAGTGACAAAATTGCGATCACTGTGTAAAGTGTATCACGACTATGCAGAGGTATTTGGCGAACTCTGTGTACTTCAGTAAGAGGTTTAATTGGCCGATAACAAAACGGAAAGGGGACTGGGTCCGAACTTCAAAATCAAATTAAATAATGGTTCCAGAAAGAATAACCCCATCATGTGAGAGAGCACCTTATAAAAGGCTTACTGACTAAGTTTCATGATGTTTGAACTTATAGCAATAAAGTTACGGACATTCAAACCATGCCAAAATTACAAAGAAATGTATGTTGTCCAGCCAAAGCGTCCAGCCAAACATACATTCTTTGTAATTTTCGAAATTTTTGAAAAATTACATTCCCAATTCTAATGACTTAAACTTGCTCAAACTTTAAAATTTAGCTAATTTATAAGTGCTTTGTCTATTGACAACAGATTTCCGTAAGATTGTATCACTTTTAACATTTTCAGTCCCAGGCCCCTGCTCGTTTTGTTATCGGCCAATTGTGATATCAGAGACACTGATGGTTTCAGTTGCCCRACAAGTTAATTGACTAAGCAATAAATTTTACTTATGTTGCTGAATTATTTTTTATCACATCATTCAGATCTTTAAGAAACTAGTAAGAAATCAATTCTTACAAGTACAAATAGATCAATGTAATCACGATAATAATGAGGACATGGAAAGAATCTGTCATTCGGAGAGCTGTTAGCGTGTTGACMAATCCAATAGTAGGAACACAAAGGAAGACTATAGAATACCTCAATATTCAGGAGGAGCCAACGGAGTCGGTTCTTGTATATAATTGTTCTTGTATGAATWTTTTTCTCGGCAAAGGGAATTTGAGCTACTACATTG